ACAGACACAGGAACCCTAATTACACTTTTGTATGCCTTTTATGAAAACATTGATTTTAACGTAATTCTTTGCACGAATGTACCAAAGATGTTTTGAAGTAACATAAAATTGTCATAAAATGATATTTTGTTTTAAACGGTACGTATAATGGATGAAATTATAAGTTATAAGATGTGCGCAGTAAAAATGCGCAATGCAAAACTGCGGAATTACCTTAAGTGCATTATTTACGAGTTAACTGAGCGGGCCCCTCGTGGCGCAGTGGTTCAAGCGCCCGCTTGCGAAGCGCGTTAAAATCGTTGTGTTACGCACACCAATATGTGCATGTGTGATGTCATTAATATAGCATCCCCATATATCCATATCCTTGGTTATCTAGTTATCCCTGGTTATCCAGTTATCCTTGGTAATCTAGTTATCTTGGTAATCTAGTTATCCCTGGTTATCTAGTTATCTTGGTAATCTAGTTATCTTGGTTATGTAGTTATCCCTGGTTATCTAGTCATCTTGGTTATCTAGTTATCGGTGGTTATCTAGTTATCCTTGGTAATCTAGTTGTCTTGGTAATCTAGTTATCCCTGGTTATCTAGTTATCCCTGGTTATCTAGTTATCCCTGGTTATCTAGTTATCCCTGGTTATCTAGTTAACCCTGGTTATTTAGTTATCCTTAGTAATCTAGTTATCTTGGTAATCTAGTTATATCTGCCGCGATGGAATTATAAGTTTGATAGTTTAGATACATGTGATGTCTGATGGATATTTTGAATATAAACTAGATGGAGCACACAAAATATGCGTAGTCTTTAGCTTTGATCGAGTATTACCGAATATGGGTACAACCCACTGAGGGGTGTCACCCCCGCTCATCTTAGCCACTGTTCTATATAAAAACACTGTAGTGTTGCTAGTTATTTATTACGCAATCTCGTCCCCCGAGCCTGCGATCCTCGGGAAGAAACGCGAGGCTCTGGGATAATCCGTTTCAGGGAGGAATCTGATTGGCCATTAAAATGGAATGCGTAGTTCAATCTTAGCCAGGATTCTTGGCTTCCGGTAACGGATTATCCCAGAGCCTTCGATTCCTTCCCGAGGATCGCAGGCTCGGGGAACGAGATTGTTTATTACGTTATTTGCGCCTGGGTACGAGGCTGACTCGGTCGGCTTTCGCATTGGCTTTCGCTATGTTACAGAGGCTATGTTTACACCTCGAGGTTTCGAGAAATTAGAAAAGATTTTATAGAAAACATTGTAGAATGGCAAGTTTTTGCACTATTCGTGGAACGAAAGCTTCGTTTTTGGGTGGACAAGAGCTTCTGTTTGTTCACTGTGTGTCAAAACAGCCTTTACTCTTGATTCCGGAAGGATTACCGTGTGTTCAACTTGTATGCCAAGAGGTTCATGTTAGTTTTACATTGCAACCTACTTTATTATTTTCATCACACAGTTTTACTAGTCAATGGGATACACTCATTTGGATTACAATCAGGCCAGTTTTGTACCATTTTATACATGAAGTAGAAAGCAAAACCTGTGTTAAACCTTCCTCCTTTGGATGTCCTAATACATTATACTATTATCAGAAGTATATTTCTACCTACACAAGAACGGCTGTCATGCATTTCCCCTCTAATTTAGAATCTGCCAAGTCTCAGAACCTGAAACATGCTGCCCACATTTATCAATTACTTTGAACCTGTATGTTTCATATCATTCTGTATTCTACACACATAAAAATCTCACATCTTGTAGCAAGTCTGCCAACAAGGCGTCAATAAGATGTATTCGCACTGCTTGTCCCAAGTTGTCAACAGGTTTGGAACTTGTTGACAACTTGTAACAACCTTGTCAAAATTATCAGACCTGTTGAAAGGTTGGCAACAAACATATACATACAATAGTCACAGTGCATTATTGCACTTGTCGCTAAAAAATGTAGTTCACAATGGTGTTCCCCCAGCCTAGTCCCAGTCGTTCTGAAGCAAGCGCGAGAAAAAAGTGGATGTAGTACGATACTGGGACCTAGGTGTGACGTCACCGCTCGTTCCGCACAGCACACCCAAGCATAAAACTTTTAAGACTTATTTAAATATATCGAAGCAGCGAATAGAGAGAGAGCCTGGGACTAGGCTGGTGTTCCCCATTTCGGTATTCCCATTTATATAAGCTAAATGTTACCATGCAAAAATTGAGAAGGGTTAGGGTTCTTCAAATCCACTATGAATCTTTCCATAGTGTGTATTGAGAAGATTGAGCCAATGTAAATGCCAGCAAGCTCATGGCCACACAGAACAGTCTCTGCTTTTCTTTGTTTCTCTTTCAGTCATTCTGTTAACTGGACATGACATGGTATAGACGTGAGGAATATCAAGACATGGTACAGACACAATGAACATCTGGATATGGTATAGACAAGGAAGGTCTAGATCGTTTACTGCTGGACACTTTTTGGCAGAGCCATCACACTAAATTTTATTCTATCACAACACTAATATATATATATATATATATATATATATATATATATATATATATATATATATATATATATATATATATATATATATATATATATATATATATTGTTATATATATATATATATATATATATATATATATATATATATATATATATATATATATATATATATATATATATATATATATATATATATATATATATATATATACACGACTGTGTATAAAAAAACGTTCAAACAAAACGTTTGGCAGAAGCTGCGAAATTTTTTATTGGCATCTGGTGTGATACTGAATTTCTTTTATTTGTTAGGATACAGTTGGGGAGCTGCGTGCAGGGTTTTTTCAGGATTTTCTCTTGGGTCCGTTTTTCCAGAGAAGATGGAGTTTAGCACTTTAGCTGCACAGCTGGGGTGGCTGCACCCCCCCCCCCCTACCGGGGGGCCGACACTTGTACTCAATAAATGTAGTTGAGATGGAATGTGTTAAAGCAGGGGCACTAAGGGACACTATAAACTGGTTAAAGATGGCGAATGCATAGTTTTTCTTGTGTTGTTACATGAATTCCAACCATTTTTTCTTAATTGTCAAGTTCAAACTGAAAACTAATTTCCACACATCACGAATTTAACTCAAACAACTTCATTTTTACTGCACTGAAACTTTGGTGAGAAGATCGAGTTTCAAAACTCAATTCAAGATAGAGTTTTTGGAGCCGTTTAACGGCCCTAAAAAATCCCCGAAAAAAACCCTGGCGTGTGGTACAGTCTTGGCCCTACCCCGGTCTTCCTGTAATGCACGTGTTTTCCTCACCTCCCTAATTCTAACATCAGTGTTGGTATGATATGGACACCATCTTATCAGTTCTGCAGTTTTTGGCAATCTATGCATGGTTTTCAAGTGTATTATAGTCTTCCCTGGATCATTACAAATTAATAAAAAGATCACACACACTACATAATTGATGTTGATAAAATTTATTGACAAAATCAAAAATATATTAACATAATATTACTGCACTAAAAGATAATAAAAATATTTTTAAAAATAAAATTTTATGCACACAAGAGAAGTTTTTAAAATGTTGCATCTCATTCATTTCACCAGTACACATGAATGGTATATGATGAAGAATATGAAAGGTGATGCTTTTGCTCTAGCTTAATGATTATTAAAACAATCTAGAGGTATTACATAATTGGTAAACCTCTCCAATCGTAATCATTTGCCTGAATGGTATATGATGAAGTACATGAAAGGTGATGCTTTTGCTCTAGCTTAATGATTATCAAAACAATCTAGAGGTATTACATAATTGGTAAACCTCTCCAATCGTAATCATTTGCCTGATTGTGTAATTCCTAGTGTGTGCATGTGTTGTTCGATGCCAAAACTATACCATTTTCCACTTAAAATGTAGAGCTGTGCTAAAACTTATATCATGCACTGAAAGTATGTTCAATTATTAATGACTTCAAAAACCGGAATGGAATTATGTAACTGTCAAAGATTGAACCGCATGTTACTGAGAAATTGCAAAGCACTGCAGTGAAATAATGCAAGTATGTCTGTTACAGTACATACCTACCAGGATCATACTTACAGTACTCAATTTCATCCGATTCTTTCATACTCACTCTAAATATTTACAAGTACAGTAATCAGATGATGACAGCAAATTCAGCATCTAAAAAGAGAAAACTAACAAGAACAGAATTAAGAAATATAAATGGAAACAAACTCAACGTGTATACATGTACCAGAACTATTTACATTCATAGGAAAAATTCGAATATATCATTAATGGTAAATTAAACATGGTTTTCACCAATTCACCATTTGGAAAAACTGGACTCTTATCATCTGAATTCAACATGGTAAATATTTAAAAACCATTCAAAACCCATTATTAGAAATTAAATTTTTCCTGTGGTTATCATTGGTTCAATATATTAAACCAAATGAAAGATGGGAGGCAAAAGGATGAAAAGGGTGAAGTCACTTGCCCAAGGGTGTTTTACACCTTCAACCTTGTGTGGGTGGTCAGCTGCATCAATGTCATTTGGGACTTCCTCGACTTTGTTGAAGCTCGGCATGAAGTCACCGTTCGTTACTTGTCTAGTAATAAAATGGCAAATCTTCGTCAATTCGTTTGCAATAAGGTAGCGATGATAAACAATAAAATTTTTTTAAAATTTGTTTTAAATTGTACAGTATTTTACCACAAATGGATCACATATAATACATCGTATTGAAACATATATAATATACATTATACAGAATTGAAACATAATATCATAGTTTCCATCTGTGTTCCTGTTTATCATGTATGTTTGCTAATTGAGAACAGCTACATATGGTATGCTACATTTATTACATTTATTACATTTACTAATTCCAATTGGTGCCATATTGTGTAAATGCACTTAAAGAAACAGGTCATAGCATATTATCAGTAGCAGAGTGTATTTACAGAAACAGTTTCTCATGCTAACATTCAATTTACCTTACAACTTTTCCTCCACAACGATTTCATCTCTTTCACTGCAAATGTATACCATCCAACTCAACGTTGATCTCCCGGGATTCTGCTTGTTGCCGAAGACCAGCTACACTCATTATTTTCCAATTTTGTTCCACTAAGTTCAGCATCTTTTACACACAACAACAGCTGAAGTTAGACCCCAGATGAAAAATAAAAAAATAAAATTTGTTTTAAATTGTACAGTATTTTACCACAAATGGATCACATATAATACATCGTATTGAAACATATATAATATACATTATACAGAATTGAAACATAATATCATAGTTTCCATCTGTGTTCCTGTTTATCATGTATGTTTGCTAATTGAGAACAGCTACATATGGTATGCTACATTTATTACATTTACTAATTCCAATTGGTGCCATATTGTGTAAATGCACTTAAACAAACAGGTCATAGCATATTATCAGTAGCAGAGTGTATTTACAGAAACAGTTTCTCATGCTAACATTCAATTTACCTTACAACTTTTCCTCCACAACGATTTCATCTCTTTCACTGCAAATGTATACCATCCAACTCAACGTTGATCTCCCGGGATTCTGCTTGTTGCCGAAGACCAGCTACACTCATTATTTTCCAATTTTTTTCTCCATTTTTTTCCACTAAGTTCAGCATCTTTTACACACAACAACAGCTGAAGTTAGCCTCTTTTAACACAACAACACTCAAAACATATTTACAAACTATTTACAAGAAAAGCATCCATTTCATCAGTTATCTAGAAGAATATAAAATTGCACATTAATCGTCGAGAAATCATGCAGAATTTAGAAGACATTCATATCTTCTGCATCCACTCGCAAGGCTCATACTATAAGTGGATTTCTTAAATAAAATTGGAAATTTCTCCATTTATAAATTCATGTTCCGTTGATTATGAATGCAGCTCATAACACTACAGAAGCTCTCAATATTACCGGAATTCAGCAGGAAAATAAGCTTCCTACACAGGAAGAATATTGTAAGGAAGATTATAAAACAGCGTAGTTATAAATTCGGTCGAACAAAAGGGACGAATTGAAGTTTCAAAATATGGGCAGCTTTAAATTGCGAATGAAAACTTTTTAAAAAAGAAATTTGGGTGTCGGTTTTATTTATGCCCGCTAAAAGCTATGATATTGATTTTGCTATTCATTGTTTCGCAGCACAGCCACCCAGCATACGATGTGTTTGCAAAATACTCAAATTGTTCGAAAGATTTCAAATTCATCTGTAGCAGCAATGACTTCAGAGGTGGAAGGACTTACATAACTGGATTCTATGAAGAAAAAATGTAATTAAGATAAATACAAACATTTGAACTCTGATAATCCATTTTCTCAGTTATCTAGAAGAGACTTTTTAAAAAGAAATTTGGGTGTGACGGTTTTATTTATGCCCGCTGAAATCTATGATATTGATTTTGCTATTCAATGTTTCCCAGCATAGCCACCCAGCATATGATGTGTTTGCAAAATACTCAATTCGTTGAATAGATTACAAATTCATCCATACCATCAACGTCTTCAGAAGCAGAAAGATCTGCATCACTGGATTCTATGAAGAAAAAAATGTAATTATATAGACATTTGAACTCTGATACCATGTAAGTTTAATTGAGATAGTTTTATAAGTGTTGTCAATATATAAACTTAACACCCCCAAATTTAAAGATGGTATGGATACTCCGACAAATTTTGCCTACTGTTGAATAGATTACAAATTCATCCATACCATCAACGTCTTCACAGGCAGAAAGATCTGCATCACTGGATTCTATGAAGAAAAAAATGTAATTATATAGACATTTGAACTCTGATACCATGTAAGTTTAATTGAGATAGTTTTATAAGTGTTGTCAATATATAAACTTAACACCCCCAAATTTAAAGATGGTATGGATACTCCGACAAATTTTGCCTACTGTTGAATAGATTACAAATTCATCCATACCATCAACGTCTTCACAGGCAGAAAGATCTGCATCACTGGATTCTATGAAGAAAAAAATGTAATTATATAGACATTTGAACTCTGATACCATGTAAGTTTAATTGAGATAGTTTTATAAGTGTTGTCAATATATAAACTTAACACCCCCAAATTTAAAGATGGTATGGATACTCCGACAAATTTTGCCTACTGTTGAATAGATTACAAATTCATCCATACCATCAACGTCTTCACAGGCAGAAAGATCTGCATCACTGGATTCTATGAAGAAAAAAATGTAATTATATAGACATTTGAACTCTGATACCATGTAAGTTTAATTGAGATAGTTTTATAAGTGTTGTCAATATATAAACTTAACACCCCCAAATTTAAAGATGGTATG